GCAGTTCGATTCTTACCTGGACCCTAATCGTTTATGAAAATGCACTCCATTTGTGACATACATAATTAAGGGCGTCTTAGCAGAAATAGGAGTGACAACAGAAGAGATTTTACAAAAAAAATATGAGAAAAGATTGTGCAGAAAATCAAAGGAAATTAAAAGAGAGAGAGTGTCAAATTTTTTTTTTTTTTGTGTGAAAATTATAACTATGAAACTGGAAAAAAATGTTTCGGCTCAAGAAGTCTGAGTTTACGGCAGGGGCGTGGCTTCGTTAGTGAAATGATGTACCGTCAAATGACTTTTCATGAGAATCTCTCCAGCACAATAACTCACAAAATTCACCGCCAGGACTACCCAGACTACATTTGGCCACCTACACTGGATGGTTATCAGAAATCTGAGTTTAAGACAAGGACGTGACTTCTTTAGCGAAATCGATGTACCGTCAAATGGCTTTTCATGAGAATCTCTCCAGCACATTAACTCACAAAATTCACCGTCAGGACTACCCAAACTGTATTTCGCCTTATGTGTTCAGGTCGTGGAAGAAACAGAAAATACTGACTTCATATTTGCTACAGATTCGATACAATGTGTATTGCAAATTTTGAACTCCCTTGCTATCACATTGCAGATACTGATGATGTTAATTGTGGGCGTTGTCACTCTGTTCGCATGGATCGCATTGATATTATCATTCTTTTCACTAGTCCAAGTGGCCAGCCCAATCAGTAAATTTTGCTCAGTCAATTTTTGGGAACAATATTACGGTCAGAATCTAGGATTGGATGGGGTGCAATGAAGCAGAAGGCGTGTCCAGAACTAACAGAGCTTGTTTAGACGTGCCACCTTTAGCAGAAGAATCTACACTTTGTTGCACGTTCTTGCGCATTTATTCAAATGCAAAAGTGCGTTAAAACGCATAACAAAATAGAGATGTTTCTGTATACTGCAACAACCCATGATGTGCTGTGTGTATGTACTTCTGCCCTGATATTTCAACTCGACAACAAGTAAACATTGAAGCTGGAATCTTGCTAGTGGATTCCCTAGCCGAATGATATCTCAGGAACACGATACTTTTACGTATGACTCTCAAGTATGGGCACGTGAAAAGTTTGGCAAGGAGATTGCTAAATTAGAAACTAGAAAAGCTGGAAAGCTGGGATTTTAAGGGGACTGTCCTTGCCTGCGTACAGCTTAAAGATTTCGAATTCGGTTCCTAAGCATGCTCAGCTCTCTTGCATAAGCACGTAAATATTTTTTTGGGAAAACTGCTAATTTGGTTCAGGATTTTGGCACGCCTATATGTACTACTTTCCTTGCGACCAGTTTCCAGTTAAATTTGCACTTTAAGCTGTTCATTTCGACTAATCACACCCTCCACGCTCTAGATACTACAATTGCACAATTCTTAACTGAACTGTATTGCAGAACGGCTATCGACATCAGCGTATCTTGGAATACAGGCCATTGCGATCACATTTTGTTTCGCAGTACTGCTTCTTGAGGGATCCATTTTACACGCTGAGTATAAGTACATCAAGAGGCGAGCAGAACAAAAGCACGCCGACGATGACTTCCTACCGTTCATGAACGGCAGTACTACTCTCAAGCCTACATTTGTATAATGATGTCCGTCCGAGTTCTTTTAGTCGATTCATGTGCTAGGATTTCAACTGACAAAAAAACTGAGCGGCAGTTGTTCAGAACTGCCAATTATTCAGACCTGCCAGTTAGCTTACTCTGCTCTATTCCAAAAACTGGCAAAACAAGTCTGCACTGGTGTTGCGCTTGAGGGTGACGAACTCTCTTTGCGTTTTGCATAAAGAAACCGTTAAGCCAGAGCCAAATCTTTCTGCCTGCGCACCTTTATCTGTCCTGTCCCAGTAATTCTCTCGAATTGTAAAAAGCAGAAAGCTGACCCCGGATTCGTTCGGGACCAGAAATGAGTTGATTCTGGCGGGTCCTAATACCTTTATTTAAAAAAAAAACCTTAATATTAAACACACAATAAACCCTAAAATACCATTAAATTGAAGACCGGACGTGATATCATCCGACTCTGCTGATCGAACTCCTTATTTTTGAACAGCACACCTTTATGTTATCAAAACCACAGGGCGGGCAGAGCTCCACCCCACCAGACGCACACCAAGGAATCTCCATGGGACATAATGCAC